AAACACAGGCTCCTGTGAAATGGACAGACGTGCTGCTGAGCCTGAGCCGCCCGTGTTTGATGCTGGGTTTTGTGGACCAGCCAAAATAAAGAGGAAAAATAAAAAGAAACCATTATGATTTATCCGTGAGTAGTGTACAGAGACCTTCGCTTTACAAATTCCGAGCTTTGGCCACTTATTAAGTAAGATGACAAGCAGCAAAGGCCCAGAAAAGATTTTGGTTTTGCCCAACCTGGAGAATGAGATGTAGCAGTGTTTGTTGTGTTGTTTTTGTACCCAAAGGTGTAGACCTTAGGCTTTATGGGGGGAAGTGTTACGGCTGGAGCCTTTTTGTGTTGTGATTTCATTTTTTTGTGCATTTTATGTTGCATCTGAGGAGCCTGCCTGCAGACTATGTTGGCTCACCCTTGCTCCTCCCTGCACCAGCTGAGCTGGGTTTTCATCAGCCGCAAATTGTTTAAAGGACCAGCTGGAGCTCCTCACCAATGGGGACAATAGTGCAGAGCTGCCTTTCCTCTGGTCTGTTGTCTCCCACTTAGAACTTCGATATTGTGCTCTTACTGTTTGAACCTGTTTTGGTAAAAGTGGATTTAGATCTGTGGTGGTTAAAAGAATAATAGTCATATTTTCTGAATTAAGAGAAATTAAATAAAACCTTTGTTAATTTTCCTTTGTGTCACGCGTCCTCCATGTTACCCCAGGCCCCCTAGACACCTGGTTGTAACAATCTCCAACTTTCGCTGGAGCGGTTCGCAGCCGAGAGTGAAGCAGCTGGGATGAGAATCAGCTACTCTAAATCTGAGACCATGGTCTTAAGTCGGGTCAGGGATGAAGTCCTACCTTAAGTGGAGGAATTTAAGTATCTCAGGGTCATGCTCACGAGTGAGGGAAAGCTGGAGCGTGGGATTGATAGGCGGATTGGTGCTGAGTCTGCAGTGATGCGGGCGTTGTACCAATCTGTCGTGGTGAAAAGAGAGCTGAGTCAGAAGGCAAAGCTCTCGATTTACCAGTCAATCTACATTCCTACCCTCACCTATGGTCACGAGATTTGGGTAGTGACCGAAAGAACGAGTCCGCGGATACAAGCGATCAAAATGAGTTTTCTCCGCAGGGTGACTAGGCTCTCCCTTAGAGATAGGGTGAGAAGCTTGGTCATCCGGGAGGGGCTCGGAGTAGACCCGCTACTCCTCCACATCGAGAGGAGCCAGTTGAGGTGGCTCGGGTATCCGGTCAGGATGCCTCCTGGACGCCTCCCTGGTGAGGCTTTCTGGGCACGTCCAACTGGGAGGAGACCCAAGGGAAGACCCAGGACACATTGAAGGGACTATGTCTCTTACCTGGCCAGGGAACACCTTGGGATTCCCCCGGAAGAGCTGGCCCAAGTAGCTGGGGTGAGGGAAGTCAGGGTGTCCCAGCTTAGGCTGCTGCCCTCACGACCCGACTCTAGATAGGTGGCTGAAAATGGATGGATGGATGGAGTTAATCTGTGGACTGCACAGTGGTGCAGTTGGTACCCTTGCCTTGCAGAAAGAATGCCACATGTTCAACACTCCAGAGACGATCATCTTCAGTAGGAAAAGGGTAAAATGCCTTCTCAAGGTCAGAGCAAGGTCCTGCTTCAAGATGAGGAGTTTAGGTATCTTGGGGTCTTGTTCACGAGTGAGGGAAAGATGGAGCGCGAGATAGGCAGATTAGTGCTGCATCTGCAGTAATGCGAGCGTTGTAACGGTCTGACATGGTGAGGAGAGTGCTAAGTAGGCAACGAATCTGCTCAGGCTGCCAGATCGACTCAGGGTCCTGCGCCTGCTGATGACATCACAGTACGGCAAATCCACTTGACTTTCATGCAAGTTTTGGAAAGAGTTTAGCAGTTTGTTAATGAAGTCTTGTTTCTTACCGCCTGAATGTTTTCTTTATAACTGTCATTTGTTAATAAAACACCATATTATCTTTGTTATGTAAGAAGTGGGAAACTACATGAAACCAACGTCAGACAGCCAAAATGCATAACTGTTCTTATAAGTGACAAACTACAAATGTATTTACATATTTAGCAGTCATTTCTGTTTGTATAAATGTGGAATTCTTATGTGTATTTTGTTGGTTCTCATGTAAATACATCCATTCATACATTTATGTTGCTTTCTATTTGTTCAATAGAGCTTTTTTTTTTGCCCCATTTGCCCGCATTTACTGGCTGATCTACATTCCTCCTCTCATCTATGGTTATGGCTAGGGATGCACCGATGGATCGGCATTTGATCGTAATCGGCCGATAGCGCCCCTATCGGTTTTGATCGGAATTTTCAAAATAGATCAAAGCAAACCGATCAGGTAGGGTTGTCACGGTAACCAGTGTAGCGCTAAACCCCGGTAAAAAAAAAAAAAAAGTTGACAATAATAACCGTCTTGTTTTTATAAAACTATATTATCTTGGTGGGTTTACCGTGGCTGCGGTGTAGGCGCGGTGACCCTTACCAGCCACCGTATCATCTGCAGAAGTTGCCGGCGGCACATACACGCTTTGTTTAAAACAAAACTTTCTTGAAGCTAAAGCTGAAATAATGGTCAAAGGAGGAGACGGCAGCGCTCAGGAGGACATTTATTATCCCTCAAAGAAGACAAAGTCGGAAGTACGGGCATATTTTAGATATTTGAAGAATGCCGAGGGAGTTTATAGAAGACGGGCGGCTATCCTGTTTGCAGCACGAGCAGAAAAAGTGTCTGTGAAAGGCAGCAACGCTTCTTATCTCATGACACATCTGCGTGACCATCACCCACAACTCTACAGTCAACGCAAGGCAAGCTAACGTTAGCGTTTTAGCTAAAATGCGTGATCCGAGGATTTGGGTTGAGGGAGAATGCAATGAGTCGCTATATAAAGCAGCCGCAGCGCCGCTACCTGCATATAAACCGTGTCGCGGACACCCCCATGTTGAAATGACGCTATGCATTAAGGGGCTCCCAGGGGCAGATAGAGTTGGTCTCTCTCCGAGAATAATTATGAATTTAACAATGATTACTGCCTGATGACATTTTCCCACATCTGCAAAGCTCACTGGAAGGACACAAACCGAGGACAATATTTTCCTGAAATACGGATTGCTCAAGTAAGGGTAAAAAAAAAAAGTATCTGATTAGAAGGCTACTTGAGTACTGAGTATCATCTGATCTAATATTTTTAAATGATGACATCAAACAGACATAAAATACGAAGTTATGGGCAAATATTGGTATTTTAAAGACTAAAGGGGAAAAATGTAAACAAATAAACAACATAATTTCAAAATAACACATTTTAGGCAAAATTTAGACACAAACTGAGGACAATATTTTCCTGATATACAGTGTTTATTTAATTGTGTGAAAATGTAGCACGTTTAAAAAAAATACCGCGATAATACCGAAAACCGTGGTAATTTTGGTCACAATAACCGTGAGGTTAAATTTTCACACCGTGACAACCCTAATACAGACCATTTTAGATTAGGTTACATTTCCTTTATTCCCAGATTATGTAGTTTGTAGCACTCATTATAATGTTGTAGAAAATTTCTGGCCAATCCACGTGATCGGTATCGGTGATCAGCATTCTTTGATATCGGTATCGGTGATCGGCAGCAAAAAACCTGATCGGTGCATCCCTAGTTATGGCCAAATAAACAAGATGCTCATCTGTAATTAAGCGCCAGATACATACATGCATTTATCTTTAATGTAAGAACTAATAATCATAGTGACAAAGGGACAATATTTTATGAAGGATGGCATTCTTAGCTGTGATAAAAACATAAGAAACTACTTAAGAAGCAATCATTGTATGTAATGATGGGGACTGCTCAAACAAATACCTTTTCAAAAGTATATTCTCCTTATATTCCCTTAAAAAGGGCTTTTCCCAGAAAATGTGGTGCCTTTTCTATAAATGTGCTATAGATTTCATTAAGTTGTCAGAAAATCCAATAAAATATTTTTGGCAAGTTTATCTAAATAAACACCTGATGGGGGTTTATCTCTACTCGACAGCAAGGGGCTTTTGAGTGAATCATCCATTATAGAGCTCTGCTGTTTGGGAAGTTTTTGAATGAAATGAAACAAAATGAAATGAATCAGGGTTTAATTTTAGTGGCCAGCATTGAAATATAAACCACCCATGTCCAATAATTTGTCCTGGCAAATCAGCACCGTGTCTCCATGATTGGATTCTCTGACAGCCAACGAACACGGTGTGGCCAAGTTCCATAAAGTTTATAATTACATGCCGTTCATAATGACACCAAAATGCCACAGTCTTTTTTAGCAGTGTGGTTACTCACTGTCTTGGTGCGTGATAAATATGGCGATGGTAACTTTATATCTCGCTGACGGTAACCCTGACAATATTGCACAGTGTGTGTCACCAACCGATGGCCCAAGACCCTCGAACAGGAGACAGGACAGCATCACTGCTCGACTCTGACACACTTATTTTTAGACAAACTTATCATGTCTGTAAGCAGAGTGGTTATTAGCCTTCACCGGGTTTGCCCACATGAAGATCCATTACTGTCACAATAAAATGCACATGTTATTTGAGGTTGAAGAGTTGACACCGTGTAATAATTTAACTGGCTGTTTTTACAACGTAATGATGACAAATGATACAAAACAATAAACTGAAGTCCACATCTTCATGACCTCACAGGAAACTCCATAGTGAGGCCTCCTCTCACTCAGCTGAACATACAGACTAAATAACTGTATCAAGGTCTAAAGGGAAACAAATTAACTGTGAAAAAATTATAAGAATAGATTTTTTTTAAGTAAAACTCAGACGATCTGTGATGTAATCATTATTAATAAGACATTGGAAAGGGCAAACAAACAGTGGAAATGGGTAAAGAAGCTTTTACATCCAAAACTTTATCACCTTATACTGTATGTAGTAACAGAATCTGCCTCATCTTGTATAAAGGCAGCAAGCAGATGTTTAGAGTAATTGTGTAAAAGTGAGAACAAACCATAATTCTTTGGTTGGTATGTGCTCCTTTTGGGTCTCAGGAAGGCTGCTGTCACTCTTAGGTGAAGTATCTTTCTGTGATCTTGCTGATAAAGATCTGAAAGATGAGGAAGATGACAAAGACAACACATCTCCATCCATCACAGATGACACTTTCAAGTCTTCTAGAATTGTTTAAGAGCGTTTCTTCTCAAAAAGTCTCTGCCCAGCATGCGGTGGGAAGTATTAATAGTGTTGTCAGTATTGACACAAAGCAGAAGAGGAAACAGCAGTGACTGAGCCACATGATGCAGAGAAAAGGAAGTGATACGGACATGCTGCTTTGGCTTTATGAGAGCGAGGGCCTGTCCCTGTGTGGTTACTTATTGAGATGTTCTACCTCGAGTTGTGTGATCTCCCCCAGTATGACATGTTGACTTTAAGTCATTTAGAAAGTGTGGGAAAGTCCACTTTTTGCACAAAGTTTTTGTGTGTTTGTGTGGTGAGGCTCAGTGTGTGTACTGTACGTTTCAGATGTACAGCAAAGTTGTGTTGTGTTTTCAAATGAGCAATTCAGGAAAGGGCTAATAGGTGGGGAACTGAATAAATATGCATAATTTCTGTACGAGATTACACCGTAAAACATGCAACAGATAATAAAAATGTTAATGCACACATTTATTCATGACACATAATTATAGGACAGGGATGATTGCATTCATCAGTCTGCTCATTACTCCGTGTGTGGAAAGTGAACTGCAACAGGTTAATTATTAAATCGCAAGTTCATCCCAGAGACAAACAAATTAATTAAAAGATTTTAGTTAATTATGTTCCTCTTAGCCTGGTTAAGCAGTCTCTAATTAACGCCATGAACATTAAATTTCATTTAGTCTTCTACTAAGAGTTCAACAGATAGATTCAAGGCCACTTGCAAGAACAACGTTTAAGACCCACATAGAGTAGCTGCATGGATGTTGCTCACATAAAAGCCTTACAGAGGACTGAGATTTTACTAACTTTTCAGTAGCACAAGGCTTCTGGTTGATCACTGATAACAGTTTCTTTTTTACAGTTTGAGGGGACATCAAGTACTTTTGGACCCAACAAGTATAAGGATGTCTTTGTGAGCTATAAGGGCTTGTGTTTGCACCACCAGGAAAATGGTTTCAATGCAACGGGTAGCATGATATAATCACTTATAAACGGAACAATAGCACATTGCTGTTGATGAAATTGTGTGTTTTTGGTTTGATTTTTAAAGGAAGTTTGAAAGAGTTTTAACCCTTTGGAGACAGGCGTTGCAGATTTGCAACATTAAAACCTACCTACCTGGTTACTCCACACACGTATTTCATGAGCATTTTTTAACTCAGAAGTACCCCTGAAGGACTTAGTTGTTCATCCTTTTATTAAAACTTATTTTGAGCCTGAGGGGGTTAAAAGCATAAACTTTTATGTTATCTATACATTAAGGCAGTGATGCCCAGCCTTTTTCCTTGAGGACCTCTTGCCCGTTTAAAAGACAAGCCATGGACATCCAACCCGAGATCCTACCTGCATACACACATTAAAGGTGTGGTTTACTTGTTCATTCAACACATTTTCAGTGCTCTCTAGTGTTAACCAATGCCTTGTGAGTCATTAAAGAAAAAGCTGTGACGCTCCTGTTCTGAGATGCAGACATTTGCAGGTGCTGAGTTGGGCTGAAAACAGCAGGATTGCTCATTATTATTAATAATATGCAAACACCTCACTTCTGATTGGCTAACAGAATGCGTTCAGCCATGTTGCTAAGTTACTGTCACTAAAACACTTTCTCCTCATTGCAAAACAACTTTTAAAAAGCCGTCTTGTGGGTGGGCGCGAGCCAGGACGGGCGAGGCAATGAATGCTAATTCAGTGTGACAGATATGTGAGGAGTTTCAAATCCTAGCATTTTACCGTTTATTTTCTACCAAACTCTAATGCAGGTGTAGGTAGGTGTAGGAGCCTGTTTTCATGTTCAGCCTACAAGAAAAACTCTGAGTGATCGATTATAATCAGAAATAATAACTAATAGGTGGTTTCTCAGTCAACCACACCATTAAAGTGGTTAATTGCAAACTTTATACAGACTTAAAGATATTTGATTATACTATTGTGTTTGCTATTGGGATTCAGCACAAACAATCTTGTGGGGACACATGCCCTTGACGGGCCATGGACCTAGGTTGGAAACCACTGCATTCAGGTCAAATTGATTGATTTACCAGAGTGAAATAGATATTAATTTGGAGGAACCCTGACCTCTTGCATCACCTGAGAGCTCCTTTTAAGATAAGAAAATGTTTATGTTGAAGGAGCAAAGAAACAAAAAATAAACATTTTGATAAGGAGTGCCATCAACTATTGGACAGTAATTGTCTAAAATGTTGACGGGACTGTAAAGTGATTCTTTAATTTCCTGTGGCTTAAAAGAAAACACCAATATTTAGAAATGTATTATAAATGTACCTTTTTTTTTTACTGGGTCTCGGTACCATTCTGTTTTCTCGCATAGTGAAAAACCAATTCATCTCTGATAATGTCGTCGTCGTCGTCTTCCTCCGCTTATCCGGGTCCGGGTCGCGGGGACAGCATCCCAACTAGGGAGCTCCAGGCTGTCCTCTCCCCGGCCTTGTCCACCAGCTCCTCCGGCAGGACCCCAAGGCGTTCCCGGACCAGATTGGAGATGTAACCTCTCCAACGTGTCCTGGGTCGACCTGGGGGCCTTCTGCCGGCAGGACATGCCCGAAACACCTCCCCGGGGAGGCGTCCAGGAGGCATCCTGACCAGATGCCCAAACCACCTCAACTGGCTCCTTTCGATCCGGAGGAGCAGCGGTTCTACTCCGAGTCGCTCCCGAATGTCCGAGCTCCTCACCCTATCTCTAAGGCTGAGCCCGGCCACCCTACGGAGGAAACTCATTTCGGCCGCTTGTATCCGCGATCTCGTTCTTTCGGTCATTACCCAAAGCTCATGACCATAGGTGAGGATTGGGACGTAGATCGACCGGTAAATCGAGAGCCTGGCTTTCTGGCTCAGCTCCCTCTTCACCACGACAGATCGGCTCAGCGTCCGCATCACTGCAGACGCCGAACCAATCCGCCTGTCGATCTCCCGATCCCTCCTACCCTCACTCATGAACAAGACCCCGAGATACTTAAACTCCTCCACTTGAGGTAGGACCTCTCCCCCGACCCGGAGGTGGCAAGCCACCCTTTTCCGGTCGAGAACCATGGTCTCAGATTTGGAGGTGCTGATCCTCATCCCAGCCGCTTCACATTCGGCCGCGAACCTACCCAGCAAGAGCTGAAGGTCAGAGCTGGATGAAGCTAGGAGGACCACATCATCCGCAAAAAGCAGAGACGAGATTCTCCTGCCACCAAACTCGACACACTCCACACCACGGCTGCGTCTAGAAATTCTGTCCATAAAAGTGATGAACAGAACCGGTGACAAAGGGCAGCCCTGGCGGAGTCCAACCCTCACTGGGAACAGGTCCGACTTACTACCGGCTATGCGGACCAAACTCACGCTCCTCTGGTAAAGGGACTGAATGGCCCTTAACAGAACGCCACCCACCCCATACTCCTGGAGCGTCCCCCACAGGGTGCCCCTGGGGACACGGTCATAAGCCTTCTCCAAATCCACAAAGCACATGTGGATTGGTTGGGCAAACTCCCATGCCCCCTCCATCACCCTTGCAAGGGTATAGAGCTGGTCCACAGTTCCACGGCCAGGACGAAAACCACATTGCTCCTCCTCTATCTGAGATTCAACTATCGATCGGACCCTCCTCTCCAGTACCTTGGAGTAGACCTTTCCAGGGAGGCTGAGGAGTGTGATCCCCCTATAGTTGGAACACACCCTCAGGTCACCCTTCTTAAAGATGGGGACCACCACCCCGGTCTGCCACTCCCTAGAAACTGCCCCCGATGACCACGCAATGTTGTAGAGACGTGTCAACCATGACAGCCCTACAACATCCATAGCCTTGAGATACCCAGGACGAACCTCATCCGCCCCCGGGGCTCCGCCGCTGTGTAGTTGTTTGACTACCTCAGCAACTTCTGCCCCCGAGATCGGACAGTCCATCCCCAGGCCTCCCAGCTCTGGTTCCTCCTCGGAATGAGCATTGGTGGGATTGAGGAGCTCCTCAAAGTATTCCTTCCACCGTCCGACTATAGCCTCAGTTGACGTCAGCAGCTCCCCATCCCCACTGTAAACAGTGTGAGCGAGTTGCTGCCTTCCTCTCCTGAGGCGCCGGACAGTTTGCCAGAACCTCTTTGGAGCCGATCGATAGTCTTTCTCCATGGCCTCACCAAACTCCTCCCACGCCCGAGATTTTGCCTCGGCAACTGCCACTGCTGCACTCCGCTTGGCTATCCGGTACCTGTCTGCTGCCTCCGGAGACCCACAGACCAGCCACGCCCTGTAGGCCTCCTTCTTCAGCCTGACGGCTCCCCGAACCTCTGGTGTCCACCAGCGGGTACGGGGGTTGCCACCACGACTGGCACCGGCCACCTTACGACCACAGCTAGCAACTGCCGCCTCGACAATTGCAGAGTGGAACAAGGCCCCCTCGGACTCAATGTCCCCCACTGCTCTCGGGATGTGGTCAAAGCTCTGCCGGAGGTGGGAGTTGAAGACCGTCTTGACAGGTTCTTCTGCCAGGCGTTCCCAGCAGACCCTCACTATGCGTTTGGGTCTGCCAGGTCTACGCGGCATGTTCCCTTGCCATCTGATCCAACTCACCACCAGGTGGTGATCAGTTGACAGCTCCGCCCCTCTCTTCACTCGGGTGTCCAAAACATACGGCCGCAGGTCAGATGATACGACTACAAAATCTATCATCGACCTGTGACCTAGGCTGCCCTGGTACCAAGTGTACCGGTGGGCATCCTTATGTTCGAACATGGTGTTCGTTATGGCCAAACTGCGGCTTGCACAGAAGTCCAATAACAAAACACCGCTCGAGTTCAGATTAGGTGGGCCGTTCCTCCCAATCACACCCCTCCAGGTCAAGCTGTCATTGCCCACGTGAGCATTGAAGTCCCCCAGCAGGACAATGGAGTCCCCTGATGGAGCACTATCTAGCACTCGTCCCAGGGACTCCAAAAAGGGTGGGTACTCTGAACTGATATTTGGCCCATAAGCACAAACAACAGTCAGGACCCGTTCCCCGACCCGAAGGCGCAAAGAAGCTACCCTCTTGTCCCCCGGGGTAAACCCCAACACACAGGCAGAGAGTCTCGGGGCTAACAAAAAGCCAACCCCAGCCCTCCGCCTCTCACCCGGAGCAACTCCAGCAAAGTAGAGTGTCCAACCCCTCTCCAGGTCTCGGGTTCCAGAGCCAATGCAATGTGTCGAGGTGAGTCCGACTATATCTAGCCGGTACCGCTCAACCTCTGCCACAAGCTCCGGCTCCTTCCCCGCCAGCGAGGTGACGTTCCATGTCCCAAAAACTAGTTTTCTTGTCCGGGGATTGGACCGCCAAGGCTCCCGCCTTGGTCTGCCACCCGGTTCACATTGCACCGGACCCTTCATGTTCCTCCTGCGGGTGGTGGGTCCACAGTTCTCTGATAATGTCACATCACAAAAACAGAAATATGACATAAATGCAGAGAGAAGAAAGCTGTCCATCATTAATAGTAAGTTTATTTATTTATGGCCTCAGCACAGCAGCTAATAATGCAATTTGCTGGGTTCCTTATATAGGAAACATTATTTCTGATTGGCTTA